CTTTCCCTGTTGACACATATGCTGGACTCTGCCATTCAGGGCAAATGCTTGAGTCTCGATAGCTATTCCATAAAAAACACAAGCTAGATCCGAAATCCATATTCATTTTCTCAATACCTGTCTTTAGTTTCAACATTCCTGTACCTGCAACAATGAGATTCATTTCTGAGCACCCAGTGTTTCTGATAATCAAGCTGCATATTTACCTGCCTGAACATCGATGTAGGTGTCTAAATTTAGGCTCCTATATTTAAAGTCTCCAGTCTTCCTCCATTTATTTACAGTGCAGACCTAGGCCCTCTCATCAGGATTAAATCAGCAGAGATTAAGTAAAGTCAAGGGGACCATTCTGATCCTTAAAATTAAATGCAAATGTTGAATGTTTACAAGATGAGATCCTAAGATTCATAGATTCACAAGATCAGAAGGGATCAATATTTCATGTACTCTGGTCTCATCTGTCACAAGCCATTGTATTTAACCCAATTGCCCCCGTAACAAACCTGGATTTCCTCAAAGCATATTTCCTAGAAAACCATCTATTTCCTTTAGTTTTAAATGTTTTAACTGCTGTTCCATAACAGCTTCACATGAGGGGCTACAGACATTCAGACACAAATACCTGTGACAGCAAAGTAGCACTATTAGCCCCACAATTGGTATCAGAACTGTCATGCTATTAATAATAATGTTTAACTTCACATCTGAGTCAGCGTAATAGACTGTTCCCTCAGCAACCAAAAAGCACTAGCTAGCCTCCTGTAGAAACAAGTGGAAAAGTCAAATCTGGCCATGTAAGCACTATGCTAGAGACTCAACCTATGCAGAGAAGGATTATTCATTCATTTTAAAAATCCTGGATTTTGGCAACTCAGAACAGTAACATTGTCAGAACAACAACAGTGAAGTGTATAACAACAGATATAGCCTGTATACAAATCGGTGACAGTTCATCGTGTAATTAGAACTATAAATGAGTAGAAAGCCCAACATTTGTTTATGCAATACATAAAGTAATAAAAAAGTACAGTGTGTACTTCAGTTTTGGCAGGATGGGGAATTAATGACAGAAAGAAGGATTTTAATATTTTTCAATTATAAAATAAGGATGTTAAATTTAGTTTAATCATCTAATCGACTAGTCGATGGATTTTCCATTGACTAGTCAGTCAGTCAGTCAATAAGTGGGGAGCCGCCGTGGGGTTAGCATATTAATGACAGAAAGAAGGATTTTAATACTTTTTCGATTATAAAATAAGTAGGTGATTAAACTAAATTTAACATCATCGACTAGTCGACGGATTTTCCATTGACTAGTCAGTCAATCAGTCAATAAGTGGGGAACCGCCCGTGGGGTTAGCACCTGGTTCCAGGAGCTAACCGCACTGCAGGCAGGACATCTGATTCCTGCCTTGCACTGGATCCCCCTGCTGCACATCAGCCTTTTAAATGTATTAAGAGCTGGCGGGCTCTTAATACATTTAAAAAGCAGAGGCACGGCATCTAGGACTGGGCACAAGCCAGGAATCAGCTAATTCCTGGCTTGGGCCCAGTCCCTGCTACCCCCCTGTCCCCTGCGGATACGGTGCTGGGGAGAACTGGCTTTTAAGCCAGCTTTTCCCAGCACCGGCTCCTGCTCCCCTACGGGAGGAGGCGAATGGTTGAGGGACTAAGTCACCTATCCGATAAGTTTTTGCTTATCAGATTGACTACTAGTCACTTACACCCCTATTATAAAAGAGTATCTCGGTGCTTTCACATTTACAAATCTGGCCTATAGTGAGTATTTGGGATGCAAGATCTATCCAAGTGGTGACCTGTGACAAAGCCTTAAGGTGCTGGGTAGAGAACCAAAACAACAGCTAATAAAGGCTGCCCCCATTGGAGGAGGAAAGGAAACTGAAGGAGTTTTGAGACCAAGCCAGGAAATCTGTTAACCTGGATATCACATGGACCCAAGGAACACAAATCAGAAGCTACAGTACAGACAGGAGGTGGTATATTAGAAACAAACGGCCTCCAGGAAATCTGTCAACCTGGATATCACATGGACCCAAAGAACACAAATCCGAAGCTACAGTACAGACAGGAGGTGGAATATTAGAAACAAACGGCCAGGGGACTGCTGAAACTGTCAGCTACAGAGTGTTTTCAATGATTTCTTGGTATTAAAAATACACACAAGGATGTCTAACAAGAGCTCTGTGCACACTGTTAGGGAACACTCAGAAGCATAGCTATGTTAGTCTGTAACTGTAAAAACAATGAGCAGCTCTGTGGCAGCTTAGAGACTAACATATTTATTAAGTCATGGCAGGGCCCAGATCCTGTTCTAAACCCACTGCCTGCCTGTTATCCCCTTTGGTCCCTCTCCTGGCCCTGCAGACAGCTGTGCAACCCATCCCTGTGGTGGGTTTGGCCCCTGCACAGACTTACCCCCCGCACCTGCAGTTTGCCGCAAGCAGCCAGGAGCAGGTGTCAACCTGGAGTCCAGGGGGAGCAAGGACAGCAGCACATGGCTCTGATGGTGTCCCTTCCCAGCCCAACCCCTTGTCTGGGGCTTGGCCCTCACTTGCAGGTTGTGTCCCCAGAGCTGGGGCAGGATCCAGCCTCCAGCCAGGTGCAGTGGTGTGCTGAAGAAGGGCTCTCCCCGTCCATCCACCCGCACCCCTCCCCACAGGGAGTAGCACGGGTCAGGCAACGACATGTGACCAGCCCCAGTTCTGTGGAGCAGCCAGTGCAACTTCCTCTCCCAGAGGAACAGGCAGTGCAGGCTAATAGCACAGGGTTAACACCCCTTCGATGTCAGAACCCCGCCACAGCCCCTATGCTCCCTACCTGGTACCCAGGGACACCCTGGGGGACTGACCCAAGATAGACTCCCTGCGACATGGCCTGGCCCTGCTAGGGTGGCTTGTGCAGCTCCCACTGGGGGGGAGAGCCTGCAGTGCCTTGAGCAGCAGCTGCAGTGATGCACTTCTGGCACTGCCTAACTCTGCCCTTCCAGCCTGCCCTGCCGGGTCACTTTGGTTCCTCATCCAAAGCTCCTGCTAGTGCCATGTCACCCCAGATATACCTAGAAATACACCCTGTGCAGCTGCCTTGCAACTGTGTCATTTGCCTGGGTCTGTTTCATTAAACATCACTCAAACTTTTTCTATTTCAAAGTCTAACCCTTTCCAAATGGTTCCCAAGAATCAGTTCCTTTTGGATGGTCACTGCACTCAGAACAGATGGTTTCAGGGAGCTGATTCTGGGGCTGTTTCTGCACTTCAGACCTTACAGCAGCAGAGCCATGCCATAGTAAGATCTCACACGTAGCCCTCTCTGCCAGTTTGATCAGTCCAGGCACCAGCACTCATGAAAAGAAATATTATCTAGACCAAAGGAAGAAGAGGGCAAAGTGAAGCCAAACCACCAGATCTGGCCCAACACCACCATCCCATGGTGCAGCTTGAGCCTTGGGCAAGCTCCCTGCCTTCCTTGCACTTGCACACCACTCAAAGTGGCTGGCTACAGGGACCATGTGTTCTGTGTGCTGTGAGCCCCTCGGGGTGGGCTTTGTGCACTGTCAGTGCTCCCAGCACAACCTCATAGCTTCCATTAAGGACGTTAAATATTGGTTAATTGAACTGTCGATTAACCTCATGAATATTTGCTCCCAGCACAACCTCATAGCTTCCATTAAGGACGTTAAATATTGGTTAATTGAACTGTCGATTAACCTCATGAATATTGGTTAGTGGACTATTCTATTGTCCCCAGGAAGCCCCTGTCCAAGGGGGAGGGTCTGAGCTCCTGGACCTGGCACAAACCAGAACTGAGCCAGGCTGCGTGCCCGCCTGGCTCCTAATACACTTTAAATACCGAGTCGCAGCGGGGATAGGTCCAGGACCCAATGCAAGCCAGGACTGAGCTGGGCTGCTGGCCAGCCTGCTAAAAAATGTACTGGCAAGGGATGGGGGGAAATGCCTGTTGTCCATATCATTAACCTATGAGCTTTTGCTTACCAGTTAATTGACTATACTATTACATCCCTAGCTCCCATTGGTAGGAAATGGAGCTGCCTGGGTCATGCTTGCAGTGCAAGCAGCATAGGATACCCGCCCCAGGGGCTTGTGGCACTCAGAGAATGCATGGCCCCCCAGGCAGACACTGTGAGTGGCCTGAGGGGGTGTGGCAGATAGGCTTCTTATCTGCGGGTGCCACTAGGCCATTTACGTAGGCAGCCCTGGCCAGCACCTCCCAGCCAGAGCCAACACCTGGCACCCCAGACCCTCTTTCCCCCCAATCCTCTGCTCCCCATCCTTCACTCCTGCTCCAGGATACAACCACCTCTCAGATTCTGCAACCTTTCCTACTCTCCTGACCCAGGTCAGACTCCTCTCCTGTCCTCATCCCCATAGCCACTTCTGGGCCTTGTAGGCAGCCCTGGCCAGCACCTCCCAGCCAGAGCCAACACCTGGCACCCCAGACCCTCTTTCCCCCCAATCCTCTGCTCCCCATCCTTCACTCCTGCTCCAGGATACAACCACCTCTCAGATTCTGCAACCTTTCCTACTCTCCTGACCCAGGTCAGACTCCTCTCCTGTCCTCATCCCCATAGCCACTTCTGGGCCTTGCACCCTCTCCTACACCCCTGTCCCCTAACCTTAGCTCCCTTCTGCACTCAACCTCCATCCCAGACCTCCCCATTGCTATCATGGAAAAGTGCAGCCCATGACCACTTACCTAATTCTTGGGAGT